TAGCGCCAAGTAAAGCCATTGTTTCTTGTTGCGATTCAACATATTCTCAGAATCTGCTTCCAGTAAAGCACACGTAAAAACACCACACACCAGTCCCGCACCGGGCTACGGGCAACGCACACACACAACACCAGCGCACGGGCAACACACGCACGCACGCACCATGTAGGCGGCGCACCACTGCACGACGCGTGCACGGCTATACGCACGCACCACAGGCACGCCACGCGACACGACACACACAACAGCATACACACAATACGAGCTGTGACACGAACCACACGATCTTACACATCACACACGCAGCACACACGTTCACACACACACAACAAACGGCTATCAGCAGATGCGTCGCGCCAGGTTGCGGCAATCCATGCGTGTAACGTGTCCGCAAGAGTCTCGTGTGGTGGAGATGGGATGGTCCAGACGCGTAAGCCTAGCGGCTCACATCGTCGCGGCGGGTCGCGTAGGCCACAGGCCTTATATTTTATTGGTGGCCAGGCGGGCCACCAACCCGACAGTTTAAGGTCGGCCCGGACGCCGTTTCAGGTGGCGCCATTGGCACCACGGGCGGACGTTAGGTCGAGGCCGCTGATGTTGAGGAAATCCGTAAGGACGCGTGGCCACGGCAGCCGTCAGATATATGCCTGGGTGCCGGGACATTAATAGCCACTCTCGTGTGTTTTTATTTTTCTCTGCTTTGTGTATTCTTTTGTATTGTTCTCTTTGTTTCTGGGCATTTATTTTGTAATTCTGTAAGTGTAACTTTTGAAGTTTGTTTATGTTTCGGAATGTAAAATATTATTTCCGTTATGTCTTTGCATTAAACATTGTTCCAATTATATATTTGTCCTGTTATGTTTTTCGAAACTGAGCCAATGCAGAGAAGAGACCGGTTGGTTTAGTTTTCAAGACTGTCCGGAAACCACGAAAGCCGTCCGGGTCGTTTAGACCGACTGCCTAATAAATAAGATAAATAATGGGCCCAAGGATAGAGAACATGGGTCCCAAAATAAAACCAATGTGCCCTATACCCTAACCCTAATTTTAAGCCCCTAACCAATAAGACCCGAGCGCAGGCTGTGGCGAGCGGAGTGTCTATAGCAGCCTGACACCCTTCATACAAAAACCTATCACCGAGTCTGGCAGATCTAAGATGAATACCTTGTATATCTAAATAAAACTAGTTCCATTACCGGCAGAATCCACCAGCGACTTTGACTTGCCTTGTTTAAAGATAATGAACGTGTTAACTCACAGGGCTTCTAGCAAAACAGCGAAACTGATTGAGTTAACGTTCCTATTTTGTATCAAACTAATAAGCTCTAATGAAGACAAAGTATGCAAATGTATATCAGGTTGCTTGAAATATGGAATCGTAGCGGTGTATATTTATTCTGAGAATCTGCTATAAATTTACAATGCGTTATTCATACACGCATAAGCTTTATCATAAGCTATCAGTGTTTAACGCGTCCATGTGTTAAAGGCAAGGGAACACGGGATATTATAATCTCGCGGTAAACGGAATAGGAGGAGTGCTAAGAAGGGAAATAGCTACAGCGAAGTGACGCTCACTGATTGGCTGATCAAGTGCAAAATTACAGACCACTTGCGGCAGAAGTCACAGTGAGACACGAGATGTCAGGACAGGTCGGTGGGGCTAGCATTAGTCGAGTGAAAATAGGAACCTAGATGATCTCGATGTTCGGTGATGTTTTCATGGAGTGTCGTGGTTTTCACCAAATGTCGAACACTGCAGAAATCTTGTTATATAATTTGCCTTTGTTCGATCCATTCGGATTAGTTTCACAGTGGCTGGTCGAAATTCTGTATGACGAACATGGCGGCCGAATTTCGAAATTATAGTGTGTCATTCTCTCAAAAGTCAGGGTATGTATAGACCCAGAGCATTCCGTAAGTTACACAGCGCCAATCGTATGTTGGGAGCAACTACAGACTTTGGCTTACAAGAAGAGTGGAAACAGTATATACTATGATATACAATATTGAGTATACAAATCTTACCTGTGTGGATAGATTCAATGATAGAGGCAAGATGAACTTGAATATAACAAACTACGTGATTTAAGCTGGTCAGCGCTTACGAGAGTTTGAAACGTTTAATGTCCTCTAACCCCTAGCAAAGTGTGTTATTGGAAGCTTAATAACCCCTAACCCGTAACTCGTCGAAGCCCTAATTCTCTCCTACACTTCATATTAGAGCTCTCTAACGTTCATACTCCTAAGACGGGCCCTATTAGTATCCGTGGAATTTAATTGATATCGGAGGGCGGTTGCCACTATATATACTCTATTCCATATTTATGAATGCGCTATCAGATGGACGATCTAGATATTATTTGGGACAACGGGTCCAGGTGGGTTCTGTCTAGGTGCTTGAGAGCGCTGAAATCACAGTAGGGATCGGGCTGCCCCACTACCTGCCAGACGATTTCAATATACAAAGTGCGGCTCATAGACTTTGGCGCGTCGTTCTGTCTCGCTACGTTTATGAACAGTCTTCAACATTTTTGGCATAGGTGGCGCTGCGCTTAGGAGCGGTACCACCCTACAGAGCGATAAACATTTCATTAACTGGATACAGGTCGATCTGTATATCCGGAAAAGACGAAGGGGCAATTTTACACAGTGAAGACTCGCGCCAAACTTCTGGAAACGGCGCGGCCAACAAGAATGGCCAGTCACTCTTTAAACCTAGTAGTGACGTCATTAAAAGCAGCAGCCCACGCCATAAGAGGCCAAGCAGAAAGTAGAGAATCGGTCGTAGATACTGAACGTGTGTTGTGAAATACACAAGCTGAAAATGGGAGCTGTTTCACCATAAACAGTTGCAAAGTTAATCAAGTAGCAGGAAACGCAACGTAGTAGATTATTTTTATTAGAAATATGCTGACATGACTTTGTAAGGGGCATGACATTCAAGGTAAGATGAATAGTTTGCAAGATTTTGCAAAGCTCTAAAAGTTTTGTAGTCTCTCGTTGATTTTGAGCGCGTCTCACAGTCATACACGGGCCAAGAGACGTTAGTTCATTACGGTAGGCCCTAAACCTCGAAGCGCTTAGACTTGTTAACAGCCAAACAACCAGGCAAGGATACGGACGATGCACTCTGGCGGATGGGTGTTACCTTGCCGCTATTATAGCCGGGGTAGTCAGCCTGCTCGTGTACCTGCTACTCATGTTACCTCTAGCATAGTAACATAGCCTTATGTCTTGATGTGAACGTGCTGGTTGTTGTGCGCGAGCGTTAATAGATAAATGTGTGTGAAATCGTGTGATGTGTGCGCATAGTGTCGTTGGTGGTAGGTGCATTGCTGCGTATGGCCGTATGCTCCCCTACTCCGCCTGGACTCCCTCTAAAGAGCTTTTTTGCGCCATTGGTGGTCACATGACCCAGGTGAGTAGCGCGGTAGTGCAGTAGGCGTTATGCCAGTGCCTACAGGCAGTGTCTCGCACATGTTCGCACTGGTTGTTAAGCGGACCGCCGTCCTACGGCGTACAGCGTACCTAATCAACACATAGTCTGGCTCAAGTACTTTTTGTTGGAAAAAATGTGTAGTATGTGGGTATTACACCGTGCCGCATGTGTGTGTGTGTGCCGTGCCGGTGGCCCGTAGTGCCTCGTCCCGACTCTGGTGCGAATTCGTGGTCTTGGTGCAGACCATACGGCTGACAGTACGAGGGTGGTGTGAGTTTTTGATTTTCTAGCTCTGGGTGCTGACATAGTGCAGATGGGTCGAGGCTTGTTACAGTAATGAGCATGATCGTACTGCTAGAGTGAATTCGCAACAGGCGTAACCGAGAAATCCCGTTTTACTTTCGCCTAAGCGAAAACTCGCTAAAAACCAAGGTCCGTCAGTCGTGCTACGTCACACAGTGTGCCAAATCAAATTCTATTTTAACCCGCCTTGAACGCTACGTGTCCCACGATTATTCGGGACGTGGGGGGGTAATCGAACAACGATGTTGGGATGTTCGAAAGCTGGGGCTGCCAAAGGTCAAATTCAAGGTCAAGTATGTGGCTAAAGGGCATTATATCACAGGGGGATAGTTCATTTCAGCCTCCTCCTAACAAACTTAGAAAGGGTATTAAAAAAGGGGAGGAAAATGGCACAAGAATTGCAGGCGCACAAATTGAGAAACGCTCGACCTAAGGGCTCGTGATAGTCCGGATGTAATAGTGCAGTCATGGTAGCGAATAAGCCCACATGACTAGTGCGAAATCCGCGAAGGTCACAGGTCAAAAGGAAACAAATGGGTCTGGGTACATGTTCATTTTGGATGGTGGGCATAGGTGTTAAGATTCATTATTCTGAAGGAAAACATGGTCAATAGACGGATGGCAGATTGAATAAACTTTTGTTTCTAGCGAGTGATCCTAGCATTTTAATTTATGCTAAATATATTTGAGGAACCATGAACTCTCGCTTCTCTGCTGACTTATGGCAAAATGGGAGTGAAAGTGTCGGATATCCTCTTTGCAGCGCCACCTCAACGCCGAGGAGGGTTAAACATGGAAAGTTGTGACCAGAGTATAACCTTAGGGGATGTCTAGGAATTACCATCAAGAAGAGTGAAACTGGCTGGTTTGAGAGGCTATTAGAGGTCCCGCTAAACGCCCAGGGTCCAGCCCCACCTCATCCCCCCTTTTGCACCCCACCTTTCACACCCCGAATTCCCCTATGCACAAGCCAACATGCTTCTTGGGCCCACAAGCGGCCTTGGGTCAATCATTCCCCCACCCTCCCGCCTACCCTGACGCATCCTGCGATAGTGGGCGTGCCTATTTACAATAGAAATTGGTGAACGCCAATCGTGGAGCGTTGTCGTGCATACCTTTGTTCTGCCGCCTATCATACAATATAGTTAAGTTTAAATAAAAAGAGGAATACAGGCAAGGAGAAGAGTGTTGAAAATGACGTGCTGTGTCAGTTAAGGAAGTAAATTAACTTTTTAGCGGCAACACGACGTGAAACTTTTAGCAGTTTATTTATATATCGTAAGCAACCATATGCAACACTACAGTATGATGCCATAGGACGCTTCCTGCTGGCTCTTGCGTTTTTTAATGTTACGACGTTTTTGAAATTTTACGAGCAACAAGTTATTTTAAATCCTACTATTATGAGTGTTAATGGGTGGCCTTATCCTAAAAGTGAGTCAGTATCCTGAGTCCACAATAATCTTGTATTATTTACGAGCTGTCAAACTCCTAGCTAGCTGGCAGCACACTTAGCAGTGTTTAGCACTGTCATGGTGGTCATCCATCGCTATATTAGTGGATAACTTAATGTTTAGCGATCCGATTATTCAGTTTATATAATATCACATAATTGTTCACGTTAAATTTGATAGTTGGTCTAAGGAGCTACTGTGCGTATACAGTCGCTTGAATAAAGAACCAAATGCTTATGGTAGGCAAGCAACACCTTGGATCTCCATAACCTAATTATTATTTCGCTGGCAGGGGGACCAGTGGGGTTCATCGAGACAGTAAGAAGAAAAATCAAGCGCGTAAGACGGGGTCACACCTCCGTAGGAAGCACAATCAAATCTCGCCCCGTGCACACAGTGGAAGATGCTCTTTTCAAAACTAAGGCGTGCAAAATAATCTTTGCCACTAAACGTCTTTTTAGGCATGGTTGCATTGCCTTCCAAGTTATAAAGCACCGAAGCGGCCGATGGGTGTAGAAAATGTTTAGGAATTTGACGCGTGATTTGGGAGGCGTTTCGGTGCTCGTGACGGTGAGGTCATTTTAAAGGGAGGTTCTAGAAGGATATATATAAGGAGTTTAAGAGCGCCGTCTAGCGGTGGGTTTGAAGCAGTACTACAAGTGTTGTTACACTATGTATACCGGTGCCATTATTAGTGACTTAAGACTAACACTGGAACGCACAGCGGAGAGTGCGCCCAGGCGTTCTTGTACCCTGAGGTAGCTCGTATTCGTAAGATAGCATATCTCCGAGGCAGAAACTTAACCATCGCCATCTTCATATTGACTCGGGGATGTGCGGTATTGACTGCAGAGCTTTTTGCTATAATCAGTAACTTTCAAACTCGATGTTCCCAGATATAATGCTACCTATACAAACTTTGACCACTTCAACGTCACACACTACTTGAATGCAGTCGATTATTTAGATCCACTCTTACGGATTGCGCTAGGAAGGAGCTACACATAGGATAGGAGCTACCTGGTAACATACTAGAACATATCCCCTTATTATGACAGGTTCTCAATATATACAATACATTGGTCTATAATAATAATTAACAGTCATAATATATATTGTAATACTAACTTGGTGCCGATATGGAATTAGTTCACTCGCACTTTATCGAGCTCCCGATATAGGAATTTTGTGAGAAGGAGGGTGGCTAGCGCTTGTGGTTTGCGATTTTGTATACGTAATGGTGTCTCTTCCAAATAGGGTGAGCCATTCTATCTTGAAAAGTCTAAAATCCCCACACAACAAAAGAATACCTGGAGCATGTTCTAGAGCCATAAGGAGCGCACTTACACTTATTTCCACTAAATTCGAATCTCATATGATAGTGGCCCAAGTGCGCGATACACCATATTATTAGGTGCCGGGGTGCCACCGCGGGAATACCACCACACAGTATTAGGCCCCCAGTCACAGTGATAGTGGCAAAACATGCAATCACATGTGCCACGTGTAAAGAGTTGATACGGTCAGCGAAGTGACATCTTTCACCCAAACTGCGCCTCTGTGGCTTAACTAATTCTAACCGGTGCGGACTTACGATAAGGCGAAGCCTCACAGCCTAGTGCTGCTCTATACAACCAACTGCCATGAAATATGCCGCAGGAGCGCAGAGGGGAGCGAAAGATCTGCACGAGGCAGTATAGGGGCATCTAGTGCGTCTTCTATCTTCATCCTCAGGCATATGGCCTATTAAAAGCTTCACACCTGCGGGCTTGACGTTGCACCCAAGGTGATCTCCAACTGCACATCATTTACGTTAAATCCTTCCCTTCTTCACGTGATGTGTGCATGTTTGCCACTACACTGTTGGGTTTAACTGGTTGTGGTAGGCATATATGGTGTATGGGCTATACTTCGTGTAAAATGATATAATCCATGATTAGGCAGTCATTGTCTGATGTATATGAGCATGAGATCTGGGTCATATTGAACATAGATCCAACCCTATGAAGACTCACTATACGTATCAAATGACAAAACAGCCCACCACAAAATCGCACGGGCTCGAGAAAGCATAGACTCCACCACCGTGATAAGGCGAATAGAAGGGAATGCATGATAAAGACGGGCGATGAAGGTTTGCAGTTATTTACCAGGTAGCCCTGACCTAATGTGTAGGCTTCGCTTCGCTCCACAGTTAACGGATGCAAAGGTCGCAATAAGTAAAGTTTTATATATCTGCACAAGCATTGAAGACGTCGACTTACAAAGAACTTTGATGCGAAAAAGCCTGGCTATGCGTCC